ATCCAAGAGAATGATAAAAAGTTTAATTAAAATCGAAGAGAGAGAGATACTTACTTGCGATATTTCTTTACTGACTCCATTTCAAGCCAAGCATCATTTGTTCTCTCCATTTCGTCGATGAGCAAATCCCCGATTAAAATCGTCAAAGGTTAGAGATAAAGAAATCTCGTTCGAACTCCCAGGCGAGTCTGAGAGGTCCGTAATCGAATCAAGTTGCCCATAAATATCGTATCTATATACTCGGCCGTGGGACCATTCACCTGGGATGAGAATCACTGGCCGCTACCTGGCTAGGAGAGCGGAGCGTGTCCTCGTAAAAGCGAGAGAGAGAGAGAGAGAGAGAGAGAGACAGGCAGCCTCGTCGGCTTGAAGGGGATAGTTGAGGACGAAGGTAGGCGGTGTTTTAAAGAAGGACACCCGATATAGGAGGCATTGTACTCGGCGAACGAACCAGCGCGGCGTCAGGCGCTTGGGTCCCAGGTGCTGGAGGGCAGTCGAGGCAGTCTACTCGCCACGAGCCCAGGTAGTACGTTTCCTGCGCTTCCTCTTTCGCAGTCAGCCTGTTCAGGTGTTCAGGTGTCATCTCACGGCGGTGAACGCGTCGCGTGAGTGTATCGCGTCTTCTCTTTCTCTCCGTCCGTCTGCTTTGGCTTCCACGGAGGTTCTCCACAAGAGAAGGTTCTCCGCGTGTGGGAGGCGAGAGGAGAGGGAGAGAGAAAGAACTTCCTCTCGGTGGGTACTCTCGCGTGTCATCATCCGCGCAGTGTCATAAACACCGTGGCAGTGCGACTCCGTCGTCAGTGGGTCGAGTTATCACGAGCGCGATCCGCTCGCCGTCGTCCTCGGGGACACCGCGCGCGCGCGGGGAGCGGAAAGTAAAGGAGCTGGCAGGACAAGCGCCGCCGAGAGGGAAACCTGTTTGCATGGACGATGTTCCGATCCTGACTGACGCGAAAGGATAGGCCGCAGCGGGTTCAGGTATGCGGAAAAAGAGCTGCTCGTATTCGGGCGCACGTTTTCACGACAAAAAAAGAAAAAAAGAAACGTGTCTACGCAAACCGCGGCGCCGTGTAATAATGAAAAGATACAGGGAGGTCTACCTGGTCTATCTGGTCTACCGCCGCCCAGGTGTTCTGGTGGCGGCGGAGGTCAAAGGTAGAAGAAGGACGTCTCTCTTTCTTAGTTAAAGTTGAAGATTTCCCCTGCGCCGATCTTTTCCCCGAGCTGATGGATATCCCGTGTTCTGTATAGTAAAACGATGGTGAAACGGACTTGTCTGTGTTAGTGCGCGTGCAATGTGGTTCACGCAAGTCTCGCGTAAGAGTTAGTGAGGCGTGATTTGCCGTACCTACGGTGTTCAGAAATCCCCATTTCCAAACCTCCAGGGCAGGACGATTTTCAGTATATAAGCGGAGTTTTGACTCAGTGAGTCAGAGTCAATTCAAGTTATTGTATACTACCTAGGGGAATGTACACTTTCCCCAAATATACGAGGTAATGAAGGTGAATCATTGCGTCGTTAATTCAGCGAGATAAGTTATCGCGGTACAGTCATGTAATTTGGGAACAGTTGATGAAACGTAACATAACGCGCGTTCAAGTCTACTGTAAACATCGTATCACACTGTAGTGCTATTAGCAATTCTGTACTATATATAGACCGGAGAGCTGTCGCACTTTCTCTTGTGATTTGCAGATAGAGTAGAAATTAAAAAGAGAATAGCGATTATTTTTAAAATATTTCGAAATTATCGGAAATTGAATTGTTTTGTTCTCTCTCATGAAAGAAATTTCTAATAACATAAATAATAAAATTAATTATTTACGTAAATAGATTGAAATTTTATTTTTCAATTAATTTGAAACAGCGAACTTTTTACATAAAAAAATGGACGCTGATTTAGCATACATTGCTTAACGTAATATTTAAATATATACAAATTTCTTTTTATTATATTCAGATTTTTGATATATTCAGGTTTTTATGAAAAATGTAACTTTCTTTCTATAAATATTCAAAAATTATTGGCCAATATTAGACTTAAGCAGTCCTTAGACACTCAATATTATTACATGAAGAAAAATGTTTGATTGAATTAACTGGAATTCTGGTGAAAAATAATTGATCTATAATTCTGGTTAAGTATACTGAATTTCTGGTTATAAATCTATTAGAATAGATTGAACCAGAATTCCAATTAATTTAACCTGTTTATTTTGATTTAAAGCTTTTACAATTAAAGAGGGCATCAATGATATCGTACTAAATAATTAAACACAATAATATTGAGCATCTAGAAGCTTAAAGGATACTACTTTTTACTATTATTTTTATCCGCGCTCATTAAAAAATCTTTGTTTAGCTTTAGAAAATTTCGCGAAATTATATTCTCTATATTCTGAATATACGTATAATTACACTTCGAGCGACTCTGTTAAATAAGAGTGATGAAGATAGCGTGCAGGAAGCTAAACAAACCTATCAGTTGGCTAGCTTCATATGATATTTTATCTACCAGCAAATCCGTTGGCTATGCCTATAGCGAATTCAGTTGAATGCACTGATACGCACATATATACACACACACACACACTGGTGAATGTGTAAGCTGTTCGTGCACAAATTTACCCAAGTACTCGAGTATTTAGGTAAACATAGCCTACGAGTGTTTTGATAGCCGGGACGGTCCAGTAGAAATTTGGTCAAACGACAATGGCCTACGCTGGTAGTTGTACCACCATTGTATCAGTCGAATCATCTGTATTCTATCAGCGTACGGATTTAGTCAATTTGTGCGCACCAATGCACGCTATTGCTTCCAATCGAATCCATCACGCGAGAGATGTAAAGGCAAGTTCGTCAATTTTTTCCGAGTTAACGACTCGAAACCAGTAGTCATCATTTCCCAATATTACGATTCCAAATAATGGAAACTCGGATCGAAAATTCCAATACTGTAGACACACGCTGGTTGATTTGCATAACATTGACGTGAATAAGAAAAAAATCTCCGTTTTTTTTTCATATTTGATGCGCAATAAGGTTGAGGAAATTTCAACCGACGAAGTTTCTTTAACTTTTAAGCAAATATTAGGTGGTTTAAAGCAAATTGATAGCATGCTCGGAACACCTCAAAAAAATTTTATTTTATAGTTATTATATTTTTTATTACTATATTATATTATAATTAAATCTGCATTCATTATACTCTTAAAAATAATAAATTTTAAAACTTCTGAGCATCTGGACAATAATTTATAGTTTTCTTTTTTGAAATTAGGTTTAAAAAATGCTAGTAGTGCTGTAACCATCTCACTTAGGTCTGGTTCCACTAATGTAAAATTAACTTTAATTTAGGTTTAATTTACTAAGTATTATAAAAGAGTAAATTAGAATTAGAAAAAGATAAACGGTAAGTTAAACCGAGATTAAAGTTAATCTTCCATTGGTGAAACCAAAAATTCTTAGAATTATATCTGTTTCTACCAATGCAGATTAACTTTCATAGTCCAACTTACTTTTCATCTTTTTTTAGAACTAAGATGAAGAGTTAGTTGAACCGAGATTAAAATTAAACCACATGGTAGAAACGCGCATTGGAAAAAGACAGAGAATAAAGTGAACCGAGATCAACGTTAATCTTACATTGGTGGCATCGGGCCTTAAAAGTTGATTTCGCCGCTCGGTGATTTTCCGCCTAATAACGCCGTACAGAGTATTTTTCTCGGCCCTTTCGCACACCACGTTCGCCGTCTGTCGCGCAGCAGGGCCTACATCGACATTGTCGGAACAGAGGTCCCGAGTGAAGAAACGCAAAGAGCGGAGTCGGACGTACGCGAGTGGGACGAGGACGGACGACGACAGATGCGGCCGCGGGCTTCATCATGTGTGCCGCCGCCACCGCCGTCGCCGCCGCCGTCGCCGACGTCGTCGCTGCAATGCGACATTCGACCATAATATACACGACACACACGCTTTCTCGGCCGCCACAAGCGTGCGGAACGCTCGTGAGCTCGTCTGTCGCGTCGCGTAGCGCCGCGCCGCGCCGCGACCCCGGCGTCTCCCGTCTGTCTCTTTGTTCCCGCCCGTCTCTTGCGTACGGTCGTTGTCTCTCGTTCGAATCGATATATATATATATATATATGTAATTCGATGTCGGTCGACGAAGAAGTCGGCGACCGAGGAGACAGACGAAGCGAATCGCGCCGGCAGTCAGCGAGCCGATACGATCCCGTCGTCGTCTCTGCCCGTTTCTGTCGGATCCCCTCTATCCGTCGGGAATTCGCCGGGGAGTCCCCGCGGCAGTGGTCCCGAGTGCATTCCGAGAGGGGAAAATATTCCGAGGCGAAAGAAATTCGTCGGTCGGTTCGGTCGGTCGGCGAGGAATTCTTTGCGGGACGGGATCGCTTCGTGCCTGCATCGAATATCGGATTGATTCCAGTGACAGCGATTGTCCTTCAGCGACTTCCGTTCACGTAGCCGAGGGAGAAAAGCGGTCGATTCATCGAATATTTCATGGAATGCCAATCACGCGGAGAATTCCGCTCGTGTCGACAAACACGTGGAAAATCTTCGAGGCGGCGTCGTTGCAATAAATACACCGGTGAGAGCAAGGGAGAAAAATCCAGCGAAGGGAACCGCAGTGAATATAACTACTTCAAGGGCTCGGTTCTATAAAAATCCAGCTGCATCGAGAAGCACGAGGAGAATCCTTCCAAGGGACAGCCGTGCGATAAAAAAAAAGGAAAAGGAAAAAAAAGTACACTCTCAAAGAAGAGCGAGAAACGAGGGAAGGAGGGAATGCAGTGAACGTTCTTTGAAGCATTTGGTCCTGCATCCAAGGAGATTCGAGAACCAACCATCGTCTAAATTATTTCCAACCTTCTTGAGAGATTTAATTTTCTTTTCGTAAACCACACAAGTGGAGCAATTTAAGGTTATTTAACTGTTGAGAGGATCCGACGATTGTTTAATTGAATTTATCTGAAAAATTGCTGCAAGTCGAATCACGTAGAGCATCTACAAAATCCTTGAAAATCGAACTGCGTTTTGAAGACTCCGAAATCATTCGGTTTACTTTGAGGAGAGGAGCTTACTCGAATGTATCTCGGGGAAATTGTGTAGACACACAACTTTTTACCGAGAAACGTATCTTGAGAAAGACGTGTCTTGAGCCCTGCGTTTGATCGAGGAGGGAGATTGCACCGGATATTCGATTCGTTACGTAACGCACCCACAACAAACAGCCGCGGAAACAAAGGAGCCGCGAGGAAACGAGCTTCGGGCTTCGATTGATCACTCTCCTGTCTCGTTCGTCGACGTGAGAAAGATCTTTCCGTTGCAGCGTTTCTCAGAGACGAGGGCGAAGAGCGAAACGATCTGACACGGCAAGACACCAAGCAACACAACACTGACGACGACGAAGACGACAACACGCCGCGAAGGTCGAACCCACGTGACACGGCGTTTAGCCGGCGCTACCAAATATTGTGGCTGCGCGATACAATTCGTGACGTTCGGAAGACGTCAGACTTGATACGTGAAACGCGTGTCGCGTGTTGTGTCGAGGAACTCGAAGACGTAATCGCTGCAAGCTGCATCTCTCTAATCTCTCCAATCGAACTTACGCGCGGAGGATGAGAAGCGCTTGTGAAGCGAAAAAGTGAGTGTTTTATCACGAACTGGAGATACTTAAATGGTCCTCAAGTTTCTATCTCACGGATAAGGGACACAAGCGGAGGCCGATGAAAATGAAGTGAGTAAATTAAATACGACGGCGAATTATACGTACCAAGGGTAATGAAGCTCTTCATTTATGGATCCTTTAACGAGTCTGATTTTATCTCATCGGTGATTCGACTGAACTCCGCTTTTTACGTGAAATTTCGAACTTAAATGCGTGTGAAAAATGTGGAAGTTTCATTAATATTAAAATTACCAACGTTTATTACTCAGTAAAAGGAAGTGGATAAATTATTATGAAAACAAAGAAAGTGATGAAAGATCAAATATTTCGTCGATATTAAGGACATAAAAGTTAGAGAATTTCTAAATACAGTTATATTTTATTACACGAGAAATATAATATTGATCTAAAAAAAAAAAAAAATAATGACTACTCGATACATGGGCGTAGCCAGGATTTTATTTAGATACAGGACAAATTAGAGTTGAGACTTTTTTGAGCTCAGGAGGGGGAGAATAGTCGAGTGGTATGGATTATTAGATTTGTTTTGTGTTTTGCATTATTATTTTTAATTAATTACTAATAGGTAAAAATCACACATTTAATTTATCAATTTACTTAATTTTTTTCTTAAAATTCTAAACTGGTTTTTCAAATTGGGAAAACTTAAGCTGTCTTGGATTCTCAGAAAAAATATTTCCATAACTTTCAATTCTTTTTCCTTTTCTAAAATTAATTACGTTAAAGCGAGATTTGCTCAAAATAGTGAATATGGAGTTCTCAAAATAAAAATTTTCAAACAAATGAAGTTTTAGTTATTGCTCCCGAAATGCAATCCCCGAGAGATTTGATTATTTTCAATAACTCAAAAATTATTGATATTTTGATGATTTTTATCAAGAAAAAAACTGACTTTACTAGATCTCGATTAATCGAAGAATGCGAGAGAGTAAGTTCGCAATATACGCCGCGAAACATTGATTGAGAAGAACCGTCTCAATTTAGATAAGCAAATTTGATAAACCAAACATCTTTGTCTCTATTAAAAGTTTTACAGCAAATTAGTGCAAACCTCCCGATGCTCTCGGAGCGATGCGAAGTTGGTACCGACAAACCTTGCTTAACTGTGTGGTGTGAGACAAATAACGGAATAGACATTGTTCTGCATGGCGTAACACATGTAGACCTTATCCAGCGTTCCCCCACCGAAAAAAAACTACTTCTGTAAATTCCGATGAGAGGAGATCCCGCCAATTTACGGCTGCCTATTTTTATTACTTGAATTAGAATGTTTTTTTCTTATCATAGAATTAATACTCAATATAACATTTATTTCGTTTTACTAAACTATCTCAATTTTATAAAACAAATAATTATTTGGTCAATAACTTAGAGGATGAAAAATATATAAAAATATTTACGCACTTGTTTTTTTTTCTATCAAACTTGGATATACCATAAAATAAATGAAAAGTACAGTACAGTTAATCTACAATAAAAAAAAAATATATATATATATATATATCGATAGAAAAAAAAAAGTTAAAAAAAGAGATAAATTTTTATTCAGTACGGTAGCTTCCGACACATAATAGGCAACAAACGAATTATAATCTGATCCATGAAGGTCTTCCTGTGTCTTGAATCCTTAGGCGTGCATTCACTTGAACGTGACTGAAAAAATGCTGGTTAGAAAGTGCAGGGTGACTCATACCTGTATGCATGTCGCGCAGCGTTACAGGGTGTCCCATCTGTTTGATTGCAGTTTCTTTTGTGGAACATTATTTCGAGAATGGATACCTTTTTCAAAGGAAATTTAGAAATTATCTTTTGCGTCTTTTTCAATGTTTAAAATATTTTAAGATACACGAATAAATCTGAAGCTGTAAATTCCTCAAATTGTATTCAGACTTACCAAAGGGTGGTTTGCGGGTTATCGTCTAATGGCGTTAGCAATGGATTACGACACGGCGATAACCCGCAAACCGAGTCGCAAACTTTTTGGCATCTCTGAAGAAAATACCCGTAAAATCCTCAAATTATATATATAAATTCTTCTTTCATCGATTTTTACTTTCTGTTCCGTTAATTGTAAGAAAAGAAGTTTTATTGACATATATATGATTAATTTATCAATAAATATTTCTCACAATATCTCTTAGGTTTGTCGCAATTTTTCTAATTTTTCCGTTAACTCAAGTTAATCTAAATAAATATAGATTAAGAAAAAAAAAAAGGAAACCTTTTACTTAAATTTTACTTGTTGAGTATATATAAATAGCAAGATTACCCAGTCACATGCGCGATTGCCCTGTTTACCTAACAAGTAAAATTTACTCAAAGGTGGAACAACCGGACCTTAATCCTGAATGACACTTTTTCTTTTTTTTCTTAATCTATATTTATTTAGATTAACTCGAGTTAATGGAAAAATTAGGAAAATTACGACTATATCCACGATGAATGTTCGAAGTTTCAATGTTAAGGGATTATAAAGGTGTTTACGTGCCGCTGCCAAAATTCCGGGTTTTAAAAACACCTTCGGAGAATAGAGTCGGGAATACGTGAAATGCGTCAATAAGCTGTCGAGACTACAACTCGTCACGGATGTCTTTTTTCCGTGATTTGCATGCAGTATGTGTTTACACGTTCGTTGTGTTTCCACAGAATGGCTCCCGCAGGGACACCTTCGTCAAATGGTGGTTTGCCACCGCCTGTAGGGCCCACACTGACCGGCACGTCGTTTGCCAATTATAAAAGAACCTGGTGGAGGAGAGTAGCTCCCTGCCTGGCTTTTCTTGCCGCCTTTTCCACCGCCATGGTTCTGCTTCTTTTCTGGAGCGAGGCTGCGGCTTTGAGGTAAAAATTGCCGTTTTTTTATTTTTTTACATTAAATTAAAATTTTTTTTAGATAAAGGAAAATATGAATTTTTTAAAATTATTTTGATATTGTAAATCTTTTTAAACTTTCGACTAAGCTCACTCTTAATATTTAAAAAGATGATGCTGATTTTTGTGATCATAAATTAACAATAAAAGAGATATGTGTGGATCCGTTAAGTTTTTATGAAATATTTGACATATATATCAATATGCAGTTTTATTATTCAGTATTTTTAATTACTCCAAATCCTTCATTTATCTCGTACGTAAAATCCCACCGTTCTGCGTCGCAAAGCCTGCAGGCGACTCGCGATTCACTATAGAGAAGCGATCGGATTTCGGCGAGCTCGTGTGGAAATTTATACTCTTCGCTTCTTTTTTACTCCGCTACGAGAGGATTACATGATCGAGCTCCAGATTATGCAAGATTGAACACCACTGGTGTAGCTTAAAGTGGATGTTCCGTTACAGGAGACAGGCGTTTGACGCGAACATGACCAGAGATTACGTGCTGGACAGCGTTTCGATGGACAATCCGCAATTGGTGGCGTACATACGGCAAGTGCATCTAAAACCGACTACCCATCAGGACCCGTTGAACGCCAATCAGACGTCAGAGGAGAAGTACGTGGCCTCCTTGTCGCAGGGGAAGCGTGAGGGTATCTACGCAGAGTACATCAGCAGGGTGAGGAATCTTTCGTTTCAACCCTCGGGAGTGTGATTAATGTCTCATGTGTCACCGTTGCGCACATTGAGAGTCTCATCCTTCTAATGTGACGGCGTAATATCTTTGTTCGTGAAACTTGCGGTTTACAGACGGTGAAGAATGGATGGTATTACGAGGGTTGTTCTAAAATCCTTAATTACTCGATCAATTTCTGGATGATCTTTCATTAATTAAAAAGTCGGGGCATCGACAATTTTCCAAGTATAAGAGGCTGAAGATGATGAAGTTTCAGTGAAGCAAGTTTTCGTAATTAAATAACCGCGTTTTGCAGTTCAAGTATTGAATTTCAATTTTAGTTTTCAATATTACTGAGATACTTATAAGTAATTATTGAAGAGTTACAATAAATGATGGTTCTCCATGAAATTTTTTTTTAGGAAAATATGTACTCTCTTTTTTCTTCTCTTTCTCTTCTCTCGCTCTTTAAATTAAAATTGCAATTAAAACGAGCAATTTTGGTACATCCTACAAAGGCATTGCGAAAGCTTAAAATTACAATTTTTCAAATTATTTTATATGTTGATATTACGCTTTTATGAATTTTTGAGAGTGTGTGTGTAAAGTACGATACATAATATGAAAGTATCATGAGCATATTTTTCAAAAAATAAAATCCCCTTGGAGTGAAAATTTACGTTCTCTTACATGCGGCCTGTTTCTTGCATCTTATCAAGTTTTGGATTAAATTAGAGCCAAGTATACCGGTGCTTCAGCAGTCTTGAAAGTTCGCTTTAGATACAGCACGGCTGCGCTAACAATTCTTTATCGCCCGTGATAGTGCACCGTAACATTAGCGAAACACGCAAAAGTAGTCAGGATCGCCGTCAGCACGCAACCAGTTAAAAATAGATGAGCGAGATAGATGAGCTGGATATCTCTCCACGCTCTTCCCAATTCATCTTATTCATTGGGAGCGGGAATTAGACCGGCGGGAATTAGGCCAATTTACCTCCTTATCATGATTCAGGCCCGCAAATCCGTCACCGTCGGATGTCATCTTTTTTTTTTCAGATAGGTGCGATTTCCAGCACCGCTTGGCTGGAGTCCAATCTGAACTGGCGCGGTGTCTTGATACTTACCGAGCCCAAGAGCTTCTTCGAAGCGCAACGAAGTACCAGACACCCGCGATCGAGAGTCCTCCATGCCTGTCTCAGCACGGACACGGATACCAAAGAGGTGAGAAAACGGTGAAAGGTCATCACGAAGGAGGGCGATGATGAATCGAACGCAATAAGAATACATGTCTTACGCGCACGAACGGTATATTGCAGATAAAGTACCATCAGGAATCGGAGGTCCAGGTCACCAAGCTAGGCGATGGTCCTAACAGCCTCGTGTCATCGGACGACGGTTTTCCTACCACTAGACTCAAGTGCTTTCCTCTCTACAGCGTGCTGTTAGCGTACAATGCCACGATCTTGGATTACTTAAGTCTTGACAGTCCTGACGCTCCCGATGGTCAGGTAAACAACAGAAATTTAATAATCTAGAGTCCTCGAAATATATAACTTTTACAATGTTTTTTCAATTAAAAATTTTTACATTTATTTCCTCGCGTCTAGAAAAGTACATATATAAAAGGATGTTTATTTATTTCATCACGCATATTTGTTATGTTTTCTTTATTAAAAAAATAGATGTAGTTTTACAATGATATCGAGATTTAGATTTAGAAATATTCAGAAATATTGTATTTTTTTTATTGTAACATAATAATTTCGCGATTGAAAAGCATGTACGGGCTTTAGAATTGTGATCGATCGGAGAGTTATAAAAATACAAAGCCGGTAACAAGCGTTGCAAGGGTTTGTCGTAAGGGCAGTTGAAAATTATCGCAGGTACTCGACACCATCCCATGGGACATCATAAAAATATCGATATTGTCGATACGATGGAGTCCTCATCACAGCGAGGCGGAGACAAAGAGCTTCATCGACAAGATGACCAGCCGGAGGTACAAGCTCGTACACACGACAGACACTGGAAAGTCGATTTTCTTGTACGACACTCTCCTTAAAATTTGACTCAGGTTATAGACTGGTCTGAATATATAAAATATAGGATATACATATATATATATATATATATATATATATATATATATATGTAATAATTTGAGCGACTCGAGATAACCCACCTTACCTCCGATCCGTTCTTAATATTTTATTTCACTGCCTGGAAATATTTCTTTCATTCGAAGCGCGATATCACGTAGAGAGATAACTCGTTGCGGTATCAAGGATCCCAGACGTAATCAACCGCGAAATTCGTTCTGCGCCGAATTCCCCAGTTTGTTAGTCTCTTTCCTTGCCGCGGACATCAAGGATAAAACCCGTTGCTTTCACAATTCATAGAACAATGTTTATCCGCGATAACGAGTTCACTGATAACAATCGTCGATCGAATCTCGAGGGACTAATGAATTCAAGAACTTACTATTGAAAGTACTACGATCGTATTTTGAGAGTTTCAACTGTTTAAAGGTGAGAGTCAAAACTATAAGTAGTTGAAGATTTAGGACTTCGATTATCAGACTACTCGAGAATTCCGAGTTCTAAATTGAAGTTAAGAACATTGGAATCAAATTTCGAACGGCCACAACTTCAAGTGATTTGAATTTGAGGTTTGAGCTTCAAAGTGTCTTAGGTATCGATCATGTAACTTTTTCTAGAGCGAAAACGTGAAAAGTGAACGTTTTTATGTATGTATGGTATATACATAAATACACATACACGTACAAAAAATTTCACTCTTTATTTTTCCGCTCTAGGGAAAAAGTTACATGATTGTCCCCGACTTCATTCACGCTTCAAATCACGTAAAATGAGAATATCCTCGAATTTGTTATATGTGATTTTTTTACAAGCTATCCTTATTTCTGAAGGACCAAATTGTAATTATGAATCCGAGGACTTGAATTTCGCTGGACTGAAAGAATCGGAAATTCATATCAATTCTCGACATTCTCGATATATATGCGTGTGAAAGATTAATAAGGGGTGTAAAGATTTCTCTTTTCAACCGCGGGCAAAATGGTACTCTAAGCGCGCGCGTATATTTTGCGGTCATTTACGCCGGAAGCACAACATGAGCCACGTGCGAGTCGTTAAACCTGCTCTGGTTATATGTGATTCTCCGTGTCTTATATCTGTGTTTTATTGCGAGACGTGCCACGATTTCTCTCTCTTGTTTTCAGTTTTCGTGTCGATGACCAGCCAGATAGAGTGTTCTTTTAATTTTTTTCTATTCGTGCAGACGACACACACAATAAAGACATCTCGCAGAAACGCAGAATCGTTTGTTAGATATTCCTGACATCTCACTTTCTTCGCGACGATTTCAATTTCATCGTGCGCCGTCGTTGCATAATACTCTGTTTATTTCGTATGTACCGTAGATACACGAATGATCAACGAATAATTCATACTAATGATTATTAGAAATAATTATGTTTTCACAATAAAAACAAAAATGTCCAGATCAAAAAGTAGTCGAGATTCAGAAATATGACAGTGTCAATTCCCGTTTGACTTCATACCGCAAACTGATATTCGCTGCACTGAAGAAAAATACTAAATTTTAATAAATATTTGTCTGAATGGTTCTGAGACTTCTGAGTAAATATTTACTAAATAAATATAAACGTATATTTATTTGATCTAAAAACCATTTCATTCAACTATCGTTTAAATTTCATTACCGTTTTTTTATTCAGTAAATATTTATTTACTCTAAGTAAATGTTTGCTTAGTACTATTCAAAGAAATATGTATTAAGATTTGGTAAATTTTTTTTCAATGTGTACAATTTATATATTTCATAGAACGACATACGATGGCGATATATGATGTTGGATATAGACTGCGTAATCGTCATTTCTTATCATTTCGCCCGTTTATCGTTTCTTTCCGTTGCTATTATACCAATAGAAAATAATGTGATGCTAATTTAATATAGAAAGTATTTGTTAAATAGATTGTCATACTGACATTTTTGCGCGATGAATATTCAAAGTTAATTTGTGCCTCCTGTCGCGGACGTTGAGTTTGCTCAGACACTGTGTGACGTATAATTAGTTTTACGTTAGAAGAAAGGAAAAACAGGTGGCTGAAACCGTAGTGGAAAGCGAAAAATGAATTCCTCCGTACTTGAGCTAAAAAACGTTTCATTTAATCTTGTCTCCATAATAACTCCTTTCCTCCCTTCCATCCTCTTCGTAATCGTTGCGATACAGGAATCGCGTCGGCCGGCCGTTTAAAACTCCGAAGTTTCATGGATCTAGAGATTATAAAGGAAGAATCTTTGCTGAGGGACGATTCTGAGACTCGGGATTGATAACGATAATTTAGAGGAGAACCGCGATCGTTTAATGATCCGAGAAAATCCATTCGAAAATCCGACTTCGATAAATCTCGCTTGGAGAGCTCAAGTTGAGATTTTCAAGCGTCCGCGACGTTCAATCTTTCTTCCGGGAGACACAAAAAAAATTACGAGAAGAAACTTCGCCTCCCGTACGATTTTACGGTAGCACGGTTTTTTTAAAAATTAGAGTACGAGCTAGTAACTGTAACTGAGTGTTTTACGCAGGATTCGACGATTTTACTTTTTAAGGGAACGTGGAAATCATCACCCCGCACACGCGCTGATGTGCGTTATCACGTGTGATAAACGAGCAAGCTAATCCCAGGTATTTTCCAGGCTTCCGCATTCGTGCCGCGCAAATACTAATAATTTGTAACTAGAAGGAATGACCGTCCGAATCTCATCATGTATATTTGCATTACAAACACTACTCCTTCTTGCGTGTTACCCATATTGAGTGGATCAAATTGCGGTAGATGGACCGATAATCCACGATGTTTGATCCACGCATTGATCGCGGAACTCGAAATGACGACACACCCGCTATTAAGTGCTACACGTGCGACATAGAATGGAGACGTAATACCTAATGGACTTTCTACAATAAGCCATTATCTAAGCTTTAAGTTTTAAGACGTGAGAAATTGATCAATCATAATCGATTATTCTTCGTACATTTGACCGTGACCGGTTAATTTCTTTCGGCTTAAGATTTAAGCTTAGGTAATGGCTTATTGTAGAAAGCTCGTAAAACATAGGCCTTATTAGCGCGTAAGGTGATATTTTCTTAAAACATTGTAGTGATAAGCAACATCAACCTGCGTAAGTGGTTCTCATGTTTAAATTAATAAGTTATATCTTCGTTCACGGTGCAGAAATGTCTATAGATCTGTTTTCTGTGGCTGAACTCGTGTACATTTTTGGAACTTAAAGTGAGATAGGCACATGTTTGATATTTGGTAAAAGCAAGAAAGAGAGTTCGAGTGCAAGAATAAAAAACAGACCTTGTATGTCAAGTCAATTCTAGACGTATCTAGAATTGATCTTAGAATCTCCTTTTTCTTCTATTAAAACCGTTACTTATAAACTATCTCTAATATTTTGGATGAGAAATTAGCTAATCTTTTTACTGATAAAATTATCAGTAAAAAAATCTGATGAATCTATTTTTGAGTGAGAATATTCAAGAAGAAAATTATTTTGCCTACTAAATATTAAATTTCAGTCCCTAAAATTTTTCTTCAGCTTGTGAGAAATTTCCATTTATCAAAAATCACGAATTTTCATTTTATTCGATGTCCGAAGATATAACGTAAACTCGGGAATTATCGTGCAAAACGCGCATACGCAAATAGATAAGAATACATGATCTAAATTAAGGTATCGCCTCTGCATTATTTACATTTTAGTTGCGTGATAATCCTGAACAGCGTGAGAACCTCTTGTATTCGTGAGGCACGTTTAACGCTAAAATGATAATCTAAATAACTGTTCATTCTCTTAGCGAATTTAAATTGCACATTGGATTATCAGCAACGAGAATGAGATGTCTCTTTAACATTAAACGTACACCACAAAAGCGGAATTTCTGACTTAAAATCCCATTAATGCGTTATTGCGATTATATGATTTATTAGGAACGTTCAGCACGACAGATACTTAATAATGCGATTTTCTTTGCATCGATCATAGCTTCGTTGCGACGATCATCCTATTATTTTTATTGTTAATCGCGCGAACGTACAGCATTTGAATTTTCACAAAGTGCATTATTCGCGAAGCTAGACAGTTTGTCCTTTTCTGATCATGAAAGAATTCGGTTTCAAAATTTTATGATACAAGATCTGGAGAAATCATGAATATCACGGGTTTATAAAAATCCAGTGACTCAAGAGAATTCAAGATTTTAATCCAAGAGAAAATATTTTGGGATGAACAGTGAATTTATACATCTGGAATTGAAATATAGTTTTGAACGTAGAATCTCACTCTCTTTGCTATTTATTTTTTTGTACAGATGGAACTTTATTATGTATAAAAAAAGTCACATATTAGCGTAATATATAATATGTATTTAGTTTTAATAATATGATTAATTAATTTAATGAAATAAGTATTAAAATAATAGATGTTCCTTCTATATAAATAAGTAACAATATATAATATAATATAATATAATATAATTCAAGACACAATTTAATTCTGGAAGAGAAAATTTCACTGTACTAAACAAATATGTGAGTATTTATTTAGTTCCGCAATCTAAACATGTAGAGACATACAATCTCGTTTCATATTTCGCGAATAATTTTGGATTACAAGTACGTTATTATTCAATTGTTATGCACTCGCGAATATGCACTTAACATGAATTAGCGTGCAGTTACTCAGCTACGCGATTTCCGTTTATAAATCCTTCATTTATTCGTAAGAATAATCCGCTTTCCTTGCCGCTTCACCGAAAACCATTCCATAATTATTAATTCGCGTATTTCCCTTTTCCTCTCGCCAATGCCTGTACGCAGTAGCGACTTCATTGTATTATCTATGCGTTTTTTCGGGAGATTTTTTCTACTTTTGTTTATACCTTTTTTTACAGCGTATTGTAACTCGTAGGTTTGACGTGATGAATATAAAGCTGCTCGCGTTTCTATCTTGCGAAAGGCAGCCAATCCCTTTCGAAAGCGCAATAAATTTGGATATTATACTTTGATGTAAGAGATTACTTATTGACCTCCATCCCTTGAAAGCTTTCTTGGAATCTGTCTATTTATTATTGTTTACCTTACTTTTTTCTCATATCTTTTAAGGCTCCTGAATCCTCATCTCAGCCATATTGAGTCGTGACGTCATAAGCGAAAAATGTGTCATAAGCGACACGTTGAGAGTTTTCTTGCATGTCATAAATAAAGATAATTTGGATAAAACGGAGTAATGAGATCGCTGTAAAACACTTGTAAAAATGGGCCGAGACTATCATCATCATTTCCCTTTGATAGTCAATAAATAGTCGTAAAAGGCACGTAAAGTGCTTTATGCTATAAAAGGAAAATGTTCATTTGCTCTGGAAACTTTATTACGTGGTATTAAAAAAAGAGAAGATTTAAATTGTTAAATATATAAATCCCGAAGTATATGCATTTCTCGCTTAAAAAATCGAGATAACATATATATAGTGTTTCAATATCTATAATGCTCGTGCATCGATTTTTCACCATTTCCGCGAAAATAATAGATAAAACACAATCGTTCTTCGATATTGATCCGTGATTAAATACATAACTGATTTACTCTAGCGTGATTTTATTGGAATTCCTATTGAATATGTCTTATCTAACTTGCTATCAAACATCGTGTTTAGAATTGAAAATCCGTAGCGATAGTTATTTTCTAATATGAATATTTGTCATACAAAAAGAAGTATTTATTGCAATTTTAAATTTAAAAAACTTTTTGTTTAAGATCAAAATCTACTGATTTCTCTATATCGTCGTGTTTTTGATATATAGAATAAAATTACATTAAAGTACAATAACGTGCTATTATTTAAATCCCGAAACGTTGTTGCTTGCAAGAAGTATGAAAGTGATGAATTACGTCCCATTCGTTAGGTATTTCTATAATTAAATATAGCATGCAATTTATCAGAGAAACGCATGTCATGGAAAATTTATCGACAATATGATGCCGCGTTTAATTCTACTACGAATGACAGCGCGACTATCGTTTATATGTTCTGTGACCGGTTTAATTTACGTTTATTAAATGACAAGCGAATGTTCGTTTGACAGAAGTTATTGGCACAGATAATAATAATCGTGTATCGTATAAATTATTTAGTTAAATTGACCTCATTATGGCTGTTAAATTTATTGCAAGATTTGCGATCACGTCAAAATTATGTTAAACGCAATAAAACGAGTTTTAACGACGATTTTATTTGATAAGAAAGTTTTCTTAAATCTTTCTCGAGATTTAGTAAAATTCTAAGAATATTCTTTTACAGAAAAAGAAAAGTGATATTTTTATTTTGCGTTATGACTAGACATCGGATTTTTATGCATATATTTTTTGCAGACATGCATAAAATATGCAAATTTGCACAAATATGCAAATATGCACAATATGCAAATATGCACAATATGCAAATATGCACAATATGCACAAATAAATATGTATTTTTAGAATGCTTTTTTAATAAGACAAATTTCTATTTTGATGTTACTTTCCAATCTGTTTTCTGAAAAAATATGAAATTGCATAAGAATTCGATGTCTAGTTATGACACTAATACGGATTAAAATTTGTTACATTGAAGCGGATAGAGGTTGTAGGTAGGAAAAAGTGTAGAAGAGAGAAAAATGATGAAAATGTCTTGACAGTGGTCTCCGTGAGGTGAAACGCGCGAAATGGTGCGAGAAAGTTCAACGAGTTACACAATGCGGTGTTCCTCAGATGCATCCGTTTGCTCTTCTCATGAGGGGAATGCAATAATCTACGTCAGCGAGCTGTTTCCGTTGGGAAACTCGAAGGAGAACATGTCGGACGTGGAAAGGAAGAGATGGGGAACGCGCGTTAAACGAGAAATTCGACTCGACGGTGGGGAAAATTGAGAATTGCGCTTTGCAAGCGATTGAAATCGGATTGAAGTGTCTGTCATATGACTAGAAGCAAGACTCGCCAGTTAAAGGTAAGCGGTCGCGTTTGGCGGGGTTTTTATTCTTCTCTTGTAAATCCGTGGGGTATTTTCGCGTCGGAATGTTCCGTTTATGACAATCGGACAATTCATCGTGAAAATTGACAATGTTGTATGTCCGGTTCGCCACGATTACATTGGACACATTTGCTTATTTTATTAAATATTCCGTAAAGTCGACTCGTGTATGTATGTAACGAATTTTGCCACATTGTCGCAAAAATAATTATCATTCGCGGTTTGTTTATATCCTTCTGTTTTTGATGTGATTCAAAAGTACGCACGTTCTTTCGCGTAATTTTCGATTTGCGTTACGCAAATTAATCCATCGTTATTCCTACAAATTATTTTAACCAGTACAATTTCGCGCGCTCAAAAATACTCTCCACGTTATTAAAATTTTTGTGTAAGTATAAAATATTTTCATAGTATAAACAATAATTCAAAATATTTTTGAGGCAAACATAAAGTTGAGGTTAGAAGAAAAGATTATTTTTAAAAAACTCTTTATATATGTTTCTCTATATCTCTTTCTATTTAAATTTTGCTATATTAATAGAAAGAGAAAAATATAGTTTTATGAGAAGCAACAATAAAGAAAAATTATTACTATATTTTTCTTATTATAAAAATTGTGTTTTCCTTCGAAAAACATTCTTCAATATGCCGCAATTCAGTTTGATCCAGTTTTTCTTACTCTTGTTGGGATATTATAAAAACAGAGATATTTACTGACAATTTTTAATCTATTTCTTTTAAAAACAAAAGTCCTAAAAAGCGTGACGAAAATCATGAAATCGAAACGGAGCGCTGATTTTATACGAAAGTGCATCGCTTAATTTTAGATTTTCAACTCTGCGTATACTCCCGTTCTTCTCAGTGATTATCGTGATTTTTAAATTATTTTGCTGTTTCGATCGAATCAGATAAGCGAAAGATTAGTGATAATGGTGACTAGATAGTGATGGTAGTGATATATGATGGCTTCGATGTCGCAACGTCCATTTGGTGTGTACCGCGCGTTTTGCGTTGCGCCGAAACGTAATTTGGATCTTTCATTTATCTCCTGTGAATTTTGTGTTATTCGCGGCGAAAAATCGGAGGAGACGAGCCAGCGCGTTAATTAAAGAGCGACGAGATTGAGTCGCATCGGATACAAAGTTATTCTTTTTCGATACACTTTGGAGAAGCAACCTAACTCGCTGGAGAGAATGGAGGGCACGGGGATGATTACCGAAGTTCCTGTGCGTCAGGAAGGCAGGAAGCTGTGGCAGTATCTTGCAGCCATTTCCGGTATTTAAGGGTGTTTATTAGCGCTCGTGGTACATTACTTCTTTCGCGATACTTTATGAGTTTACACAATCGGCAGATTGAAGGAAGTGTCGGATCCGCATTGAAAGTGATGAAGGGGAGATTGTGAGAAATCTTGTTCTGATAATTACTCCTGTTTACGACCAATATATGTATTATGTAATTGCATTCTTGAAATGCAATGTGTATACGTATCTGAATTTATGACGCCAACCAACAATTCAATAAACATTCAGCTGTATCGAGAGTGTATTTAAATACAATTTATACTGTTTACTTGTGAGCTAACTGTGCTGCTCGAAAAGAGTACAGAATATGTTATATCAAGTTGTGTGCAGTAAATATTGCAAATGTGTAACTGACTTGGAAATATCATTAATAATATTTAGCATTCATCCCTACAGTTAGGCAATTTATTTTTTAATCTATATGGTTTAAACGTCAATATTGAAATATCTTATATTACTTGTAATTAACATAATAAAATATTTAATATTATTTTTGATATTTTGATATTTGATATACGTATTTACATGATGTCATTTAAAAATGCGTATTTTTTATAATTTTACCAGTGATTAGTTTAAAAAGTATTGATTTTTAAACAAAGATGAGTAAAAATTATCTTGAAGTGATTTCCAGAACTATATAGATCGCAGTACTTGTCTTTCCTGAACATTAAAAGCTTGTAGATAATAAATAAAAATAATGCCACGTTAATTCTACATTAAAAAAATAAAACGATTTTTTACTTTATCCCTTTTGTTTTTAAGTGCGTTTTCAGAAGTAAGCAAAAATATTTACAATAATTAAAAACTGTGACTTATTATTTATATCACAAAATGGTTGTTCAATTAGATAATATTAATTTACTATGGTACATTTATCAAGCCGATACTCGCAATGTCGTTATCATACATTATCAATTGACGTGACCACGAGAGAAACTTCAATAATCATATATAAGCGTAATAAACTTAAATATTTAAATACTTAAATATTTAATTCTAATTAACGAAAGTCATTTTCTTCTTGGAGGCTTTACACATATCTTCTGAAGATTAAATTATCATAGATAATATATTTCTTATTGTTGTTTATGAAATTCTTGTATTGCAAGTAGAGATAAAATGATCATTAGATCACAATTTAATTAAATTGCTAAAGATGTAATCGGACATATATCTCAATATAGATTAACACAGCTCGCTAAAGTTTCATTATCCGCAAAATTTGTTAAGAAATTACATCCTCCTGTCAATAAAAGTACTCGAACTCCACGATCGAAAAAGGCGATAATGATATTAATGACAAAGTCTATTTTCATATTTTTGTTCTTTTAACGAAGTTATCTTCTAGCAATATTTACGGTTTTTATTTACAATTAATTTTACTTACTTTTTATCTATAGATAATTAAATTTGTATCTCATCTGGTAAATAATTAGGTAAATTGGTATTCCAAACAGCTGAAGCCACTTAAAAATTATGTAAACTATGTATGTACTCTATCAAAGAATTATACAAGATATTTCTTAAATAGTGGACACTAATCATATAGTGCTGTTCCTGATTAAAAATTGAGTTGAAAAGTCTCTACCATTTTGCAATTTTCGCAATGATTGATGAAACATTAATTTCTAAAGATTGCCGAGTAAGCGATTGCCGAATCAGGTAATGCTATTCCTGATAAAAAATTGAATCAAAAAGTCCTCTACCATTTTATAATTTTTGTGATACTTAATGGTTGAATAACCGAATACATGCTTATTCGGCAATATTTAGAAATTAATATTTCGTCAATTATTGCAAAAATTGCAAAATTGTAGAGGATTTTTCGACTCAATTTTTAATTAGAAATAACGCTATATGATTATTGTTTAAGAAACATCCGTATACAACCTGTCGTTAAAAATCTTTTATAAATAAAGTGCTATTAATTAAAACATTTTAAAATAACATTAATTAGTATGATTTCACTGAATCAAAATAAAATCTACAGTTTGATTTTGGATTAAGCTTTAACGAATTGAACAAAGTGGATTTAACTGGACACCAATAAGTTCGTTACGTTACTCAGTCAGTCGGATTGAGCTTATTATATTGATTAAACTCCACACAGGTACATCGCTAAAAGGAAGAGGACATTACGTTTGCAGACTGTCTCCCAAGTTTCTTAATTTTCCTGCAAAATTAGATATAACGAGGTCGCAGTTCCACCGACCGTAATAGTCAGACCGTCCGTTATTATGAAATCTCGCCGAATAAGCTCATATTATATTTCGTTTACATAAAGTCCTGGCCGTGATATTTTATTGAAACAACGTCGTGCTCTGAGAAACGGAGATGTCCGCCACGCCAGTAAAATCCGACGATATTTGTAAGCGCTTGAGACTGACGGCTGGCGACATCTTAAAAAGAACAGTAGATTCCTTGTCCCGCGCAATTTCGCGAATCGACTCAATTCATTCCCAACGTGTTATAATGCGCTACTGTCTGTTTTCGAAGGTAGTTGTTATCGTCTGGAGTATATTCGATACCGGATAAAATAATTCCGTCTGCCTTATCGCTCGCGTTACAGTCATTTCTGAGTGCCAACAACGGATTAGCACGATATGAAAAGGATTTAGTTTACAATTATCGCATTCATATTTGTACATATACCATTCGGCACCGGTGATATGATAGATCGTCGTAAGAAAGAAACTATTCACTGAGAGGATGCACAGCGGCAAGTTGTTTTGATAAATTCATGAAATTTGGTATGTTTTTTTTATCGAAAAAGATAAATTATTTCTGACAGATGATAACTTACATTTCGTCAAATGAGCGTAACGATGTAATGAGATTGATAACAATGGAGCTATAAATGCTTGGATCAAAATGCGACAAAAAACACGTGCGGTAAATTTTCCAAGAAATAAGACAAATGTAATATCAGTTCTTAAACTCGTAATGTTAAGTATTCAGTTGTTAATATTCAATGTAAAATATTCAATTTTTAATATTAAAATAAGCACAAGTTTCTTTGCTTGAAAAAGTTAATTCACAAGCGTTTCGTAATTCAACGTGAGTCTAATAAAATCGGTTCAAAAAATAATCAAAAGTAATCATTTGCGATACCTATTAACGTTTTCAAACTTAATTAGTTAGAAGATTTAATTTTAAATGTTGAGTAAAATACTTGCTCAGTAAAGCTCTTTAAGTTCTCCTAAATGCTCTTCAGCCTGCTTGATGGCGCTCGCCGTTGGCACTGCTCTGGCTTGGACGTCTCCCGTTCTACCCCAGCTATACAAGGAGAGCTCCTGGCTAGTTATCACCAAAGAACAGGGTTCCTGGGTGAGCTCGTTGCTGGCTCTGGGCGCGATACTGGGCGCTGTTCCATCCGGACCAATGGCCGACAAACTCGGTCGGAAGAAAACACTTCTTTTGCTGGCTGCTCCATTTCTCCTATCCTGGGTGATCATTATATTCGCCAATAAATTATGGCTGATCTACTTGGCTAGGTTCATAATTGGTGCCGCTGTAGGAGCAGCCTGCGTCGTCGTGCCAACTTACATCTCCGAAATTGCGGAAACTTCAACTCGGGGCTCTCTTGGTGCCATGTTTCAGCTGTTTATCACAGTTGGGATCTTGCTGGCTTTTATATTCGGTGCCGTAATGAACTACACGACGTTCGCTATAGTCTGCGCCCTCATAGAAGTCGGTTTCTTGGGCTCTTTTGTATTCATGCCGGAATCACCTATTTGGCTGGTGGTAGGTTCAATCGACAATCTTTCTCGATTTGTGTTTTTTTATTAGTGAATTTTTACAACAACGTGAATCCAGAACGTTGAAATCACGTTATCCTTTTCTTAATTAGTTGTTAAGAAGAAGATAATCTGACTTTAGCGTTCACCGTATTTGGATAAACGCTATTGCAAAAACTCCCTATTATCTTTCCATGTATATCGATTATTTTTAATTATATTATAAAATAATTTTACAACAGTTAACAACCGTTTAATTGAAAGAAATATTTAAACTATGATGATCGAACTTATTCACGAAAAAAAATTTGAATATATCTTGAATCTTTATAGAACCAAGGACGGAAACCGGAAGCCACGCTAGCGATGTCAGTCCTCCGAGGAGATTCTTATGATCCATCGGAGGAACTCGCAGAAGCACAGCGAGAAGCCGAACAAGCAGCATTGAGAAAGTCAAGCGTATTCGATCTCGTACGAACCCCGGCAGCCAGAAAAGCTTTACTTGCTTCGTTGGGCGGCATGTTCTTTCAGCAATTGTCCGGCATAAATGCGGTGATCTTCTATACTGTTACTATATTCCAGGCATCCGGAAGCTCAATGTCACCGGATGTCGCTTCTATAATCGTGGCAATTGTTCAGGTACGATATATAGTTTATACAAAAGCTTGTATACTTTCATAGAATTTTTATAGAATGCTTTCATACAATTCCATAGAAAACGAATTGTGTAACATTTCTATAACGATACTTTCTGTTCAGATAAGAAATATGACCTGAAGAATCTTTTCCTAGGAAAATTTTCGGAGTTTAATTATCTTAAGTATAATAATCTAAAGTATAATTAAAGTTTTTTAAATATTTGCGAGTTAATTATGCCATGCCGAACATACTTTTATGTGAATCATGTATACAATTCGTTGTAGGTTTTTTTCTATTGTTCGCAGTTGAATTTTATACGGAAAAGACAGTTTTGCTGAAGTATCTAAAAAGTTAGTTAGATGTCAAAACTTTGCAACGTTTTATCATGTTTGAGATTTTTAGTTAATTTAATGGTCCAACAAAATTATTTTCAGACCTATATCTTGCTAAATTTTTAAATATTCTACAAAATTGTTCTGTCCGTGTATATAATACTCGTTTTCGACGATATATAATATATATATTAAAAACATATCTCATATATTAAAAATATATCTACCGCAATATCTGTCCCCTGCACTTATTTTTAACTGTCTAATCATCGTGGACGACGATATTTACCTGAAACCATCGTTTCTGGCAGATGATTACGACAGTAGTAGCAGCAATGATCGTAGATCGTGCCGGAAGAAAACCGTTATTAATATTTTCCTCGAGTGTCATGATGATCAGTCTCGTGGCCCTCGGTTTGTATTTCAATACTAAGATGAGAGGAAGTGATGTCAGTAATCTCGGCTGGCTACCACTCACATCTCTAACGTTATTCATGATCTCCTTTTCCGTTGGGTGAGTATTGCAACTAAATTGCATTCAGATCTTTTGAAATAATCTGGAATAACATATTCATATTCGCGGTATTGACTATTCCAGAAAATCATCTCGTTTTACTATCCCATGCAATTAATCCTCGTTTTTCTCTATTATCTGACTGCTATATTAAATATTTCAGATATAATTCAGAAATTATCACAATTTATAATATAGATTATAATAATTTCTGAATTTATAATATAGATTTTTTATTGTAATATAAATAAATAGAAAAAGAAAGATTTTACTGAGATCCCAGCAAACAAACTGATTTGTCGTCATTTTGGCTGAAGTATTTATAACAATTAATTTAAACTGTCTAAAAAGAACGAGAAGAACATCAATTGCATGTGTTACATTTTATGCGTAGAATGGGCCCGATACCATGGATGTTGATGGGTGAACTGTTTCCCGCGGAGACCAAAGCGGTAGCTTCCGGTATCGCCGTGATGCTGAACTGGTTCCTAGTGTTCTTAGTGACGAAGACCTTCCCCGCGATGAACGAAGGTTTGGGCGCAGACGTTACTTTTTGGATCTTTGCTACAATCATGGCGCTCGGTACTGTATTTACGTACTTTTGCATACCTGAAACCAAAGGAAAAACCTCCCAGGAGATTCAAGAGGAATTGCAGGGCAACGTGCGATCGAAGAAGACAAACGCTTGAATTGTATTAACGAAATTTTGACCTGCTTGTAGCGTGACATATGGACGAATAATAAAAAAATTTTTTATTAGCGACACATTAAGAAAAGAACTGCCTAAAGAATATAAACTGCCAAAAATTGAAAAGAAAATTAAATCTAACGAATGACTTATTATTCTTTCTTATTCTTGTGTTCGTAAATTTTCCTCCTATAATATATAATTTTTGTTCACGTAGATTTATCGATGTGTACACGACACGTGAGATTTTTATCAGTTGTGTACATTTTTTAATTACTTTGTAAACACATGTGCATTATCGTACGAGAAAATAATAAGAAATAATATTTCAATCTTAAACACTATCCCACATGACTTTGTTTTGGGATTTCATTTCGTAATTAATAAATAATACTAAAAATGTACGATTAATCGTCTTTGTGACATTTCACTTACACATAAGAAAATATATTTAGTCATGCAATTTTTTACATTATAACCTGAAATAGAATTAATTGCGATAACAATATATATATATTTAAAACAAATTTTTAGTTTATTATAAATGTTGAAAAATATTTAAAAAATAAGAACAGCTATTAATATATTATTATAAACTCCGTGATACATTACTTTAAGTTAATATAGAGATGCGAATGTAATATATTATTCAAGTTCAGGTAGAATATATAAATCAAATTTTACACAAAAGATGATATGACTAGTAAATAAATTTTTTAATAATAAATAAATATTGATTTTTGTTTTATTTTTCTTTATCGTGTAACCTTATGTCTGCAAACGCAGAAGATAAGCGCAACCCTGAAAAATATATTTTCTAAAACGGTTAAAGCGATTTATAAACTGCATTTATCTAGAAAATTATGTGATAAAGAATGCATTATCTTTCTGCTCTATACGGTAGACATAAAGCGCTACTAGTTTTGGAGAATGAAAAAATGTCAACGTCAGTATACATAGGTGCGTCTTACTTCTATTATCTTCTTTTTACGTTGGCATAAAAGGCGTTTTCATGACGAGTACAGTATCTTACGGTAAGATAACACAGATTGCGATTGAGGCTATCGAAGAGCTGTTCAACCGCAATCAATTGATTAAAGTCGTAAATAATTTGACGTGAATTGGGTGATGAAATTTAATTTACAATAACTTCCTTTCCATAATTTTATGTTTTCATTCACTTAACGTTTAACATCTAAATTTTAGAATTGCTTAGTCGATAATTTGATCTAAGATGGCTATAAATGATATAATTCAAAAAATATTCTATGCGCCAATATTAAAAAATAACTGAAAGATTTATTACATATTATTCATATATTATATCTATATTATTCAGATATAATTCATAATATATTGAGAGAGAGAAAAAGGGGGAAAAATTCATATATAGTATATAAACAATATATAAACAAAATATTCTTTTCGAATATTTTAAAACAAGTCAAAATTATTTGTAAAAATTTTTCTCGACAAATTTTACTGTCTTTTGTATACTAAACTTTTACATTCTCTCCCCCTTCCCTTTCTCTCTCTCTCCCTCTCTCGCTCTTTCTTCCTCTCTTTCTGTATATTATTTAAAAGTAATTTGTTTACAATAGATTTGTAAAAAATTTGCAATAGAAAAGATTTTTGCAACATGCGCACTTATTCAGTGTTATATTCTTATTTTTCTACTTTACGCTTTAAAATCTTGTGAATACATAATTGGAAGTGTTCGTTGTCTCAAACCGATGTCACAAGCTGTCTTAAAGACGTTTAAAACGACTTTTTATGACGCAGCTAAAATCTGAATAGAAAATTATTATATATATTTTTCTACGTGTATGTAGCTCACTTTGTGTAACATAATCGTAACCTTGACTTTGTGATATTGCACATACTTACTATGAAAATTCCTTCTGCGGTAAAACGTATTGATAAAATAGCGATTGTTGAATTGATAGATATTCAATTTTTTATTGCCGTAAGATTATCGTATAAAACGTGCAAAGTTATCGTCGCTTTTCGTGAAATTTACAAACAAGATTAGAAAGAAATGCAACTACTATTAATTCTTTCATATTTATGCATATAGATATATGTATGTGTAAGAGATTCTAAATTTAAAACTATTGTAATTAATATATAATTAAGAAATAAAAGACAAAAGATAATTTTTCTCATAAAATGCTTTCATAAAACAAAATATTTAAAATTCAATTTTGTGAAAAAAAGCTTTAATAAATAATTCATGGAAAATAAAAATAAAAATAAATTCTATTTTATTTTCTCATATCTTAAAAGTTTAATTTAAATTAATAAGTATACTTGGTGAATGCAAAGTGAATATTTTGCTAGAATTTTTTATAAAAAACAATCTCTAAAAAATTTTTTAATAAGAAATGATTCAGAAATGTATAAATAAACTGAGAAATACTTGTAATACAAAAAAAAATATTTTTATTGAATAAAAACGAACGATAGTAGCTGTTACGATAAAATGGTTCTTCTACAATACGTCATAGTATGACGTACATCAAGGTTTTTTTCTCATAACTAGGGAATTTATCAAAGACGCTTGAGACAATTATATAATAAAATCATACCTTTCTCGTCCGGGAGATTATCGACAGAACCTTCTTAATGTAACGTCATTTTCTTAGGAAACTCAAACAAAACTTTCCAGAAGATTTAAGACTTGCAAGAAGGAAAATTTCAGATTTACACAATTTGTGTGGGATGACACTCTTATTTATTATAATAAAAGCAGTACTAGTGCATGTCAATCGCTTATTCGATACCCCCGCGCGCACATGGCGAATATAATTTATCGTTGTATAATTAATAGACACAGATATTAAACGTCCGCCTCGATTAATATTGTGGGATCAGTACTGTATATAGAATATAGGAAGATTAATGTTTAATGCTGAAAATTTCCACGCGAAATAACGCGGATTTTGCATTCTTAAAGTGGTGTACAAATCATCTTTTATGATTAAAATGAGCTTTGTGCAGTGAACAAATGTTCAGCTGTCGTTAAAACGCTTTTTAAATATCACAGTTCTCAAGTCTGAAGTTAATGTGGACACATTTTCCGCGGTTAAAATTTACAGGTTAGATTTATCGAGATACTTAATTTTTTAGTAACGTTAAAAAATATATGGCTTGTGTTATATGATGTTACACAAAGTGCTGGAATTCATAGAATATTAATCAAGTTTCTGGAAACTGCATTAAATTTTATGAATTGTTAAATTAAAAAAGAATATTAAAACAAGAAAATATTCTCATATAAAAAAAAATTGTGGTAGAATGAGGCAAAAGAATTATTACACGTCATGAGTGAAAAATGCATGCTGGAGAATCAGGCCTCAACGTGAAAAGTATTCTTCGATATTAAACATAATCCGCTTTTAAAAATATTTTTTAACTTTTGTAATTCAAAAATGCGTGTTTTTCCTCTGATGCGTTTTCTCCTTTTGAGGCGCTTCGATTAATTTTTTCTCACATAAGATAGTAAAGTGTTATCTCAATTCGTTCTTTAACGTTGTGGAATACTACGAGGAATCATTCTTCGAGTGTTATTTATCGTTTATAGAATGGTATGTCTCAATAATGTACATATGCACTTGCAAAATACTGTAAGCGATAAATGTAAGTGCATTCCAACATGAACGCTCTTTGTCACGTCTTGCACGTGACGTTTTTCTCGTATCCTCCCATTTCGCGTTTTTCATTAATCCTCTCACTTGTAGCACTAGTTTAATGTCTTCTTTTTATATGCAATACATTTTTTCAATTAGATTATGCAACGTAATTTCGCGAAAATTGAGTGTTGTCCAATGATTACATTCTGAATTCTCGTTATCATCGCACTTGAGAGCGATACGTGAACGATATTGATAGTCGATTTCGTTGTTGATCAAGTTGAAGCACCATTTCGAATTTAGCATTGTAATAAGATAGATTTTCCTACTGATTTCTTCACAATGGCATTTGATTGTTCGCGCTACATAATATGAAATCATACAATATAAGGCAACAATTTTTTACTTCTGCGAATAAAATCAGAGTTTCCTTTCTAGAAATATTTCAATATTTCACCAAAACTAAATTAATAATAAGAAATAATAGATCCTTATTTCATATTCATATTTTTTCTATTATTAAAATTTTATAAATAGAAATATTTTAACATCCTTTAAAGAAATATCGACTTTTATTTTATAAATTATATTGGATATTTTTCCTCTAGCAAGCACATTCTTCTCCTATCCTTCAATTAACTTACAATTAGATTCGATCTCCAAGTCTGTTTTAACAAAAAATGGCAGGCACATTTATTTTATTTTTCTAAATCACAGATTCTAATATTTATAATTAAAATAATTATATAATATTTCATAGAGAGAATTAATATATTATTTTTTTAGAACAGAATTTAAATTAAAAATTCAATTTATATGTTAATTCAAAGAAAAGATGTGTTTTCGTTAAATGCCGCATCTCAAATACAAAACAAATTTTCTTAAGCTTTCAGACATTCTAATTATTAAAAAAGAAAAAATATAACTGATTTTTCGAAACACAGTCGCAAACTGACAATACAGTGAATACATAGCTATGACGTAACTACCGCAATGTGTGCCTTTAGCATTGGAGACGTACGCCAGAAATTCCATTGGCGAGGACTTCTTGCTCATACCGAGAAAAACTGAGGTCAGGCGCAAGGGTAATATCTTCTTCATGTCAAGGGAGGGTAATATCTCTTACCGAAACTAAATTGTAGCTTCTTCGTTAACATCTGGACCAGCTAGTTACGATTATTGCAGCGAATATACGTGAAACCAGGAAATAGCAAGAACTTTAATTGTTAGTTTGCGCACGTCATTTTACTCAATAAATCAAAGTAAACCTTTTTTTCTTTTTTTCAACAAGTCTCTAAAGTTTCCAGACATTACCCGGTTATTATTAAGCGAATATCTTTGGAATATATGAGCTGTTTGATATTTTCCAATGAATATTTTGAAAAATTTAGAACATGTTACGCCATTTCAAATAAATATTCTGTAATATTGAAGTAATGACACAGATTTTCTACAAATTTCTTTTTAACTTTTCTATC